ACTCGCTTTCCCTAACTGTGTATTTGCTTTCCTTTTTGTTATGTCTATAAGAGAATGCAAGTTCTTTGGGGTAGTGGCATGTACAACTAATAAAAGACAATAAAATAGCAACCAAATGTGTGAGGTGCTTCCTTATGTTTCTGAAAAATTCAGATGTTGATTTGGTCCATAGAGACTAAATATTTTTGCAGTTAGATTGCAGAGTTCCCTTTTGATCCTGTAAAATAGTGATGTTAGATACATGCTATTAATGAAAACTACTCGTGCAAATTAACTGAACAATCCCTCAGAATGCTTACTGGGAGACAGAGTAAAATATTACTGTCTTAACAAGTGTTGGTTAATAATGGCTGCTATTTTAACTTTGTTTTCTGTGGTTTTTTTTCCTCTCAATGTTTTTAGCAGTACAATTCACTTGCTCTGTTTTACTTAGTATTTGATACTATATACCTCTATAATGATGCAATACTTTGGGGAAATAGGTTGGTTTTAATGAATTTACTATGTATGAGAGGCTAGGAGCAAAAATCCTTAGGGGGTCAGAGGACAAGTGAATGGTCCATTAAAAAATCAATCAAGCCCACATTTTTGTGGAATTATTATGCCTTGGGTTGATAATTTTGTTAGTATTGTGCTTACAATAGTATTTTCTTTAAAGTCTTAAAAGTCGTGTTCATATTGATTATGAGACAAACAAGCAAATTAATGTTCTTCAATTTGCCATGTTTGAAATGAATAAAATTGCCTTTTATAAACATTATTAATAATAATTTCTTACTATGGAGCATATCTTAAGCTGTATATGGTATGCATTTACTGACAATCTTAAAGTAATTTTGAACAGAAAATGAAATTATCTACTTGAAAATACAGGCAGCTTTCAATGAAACAGTGTACTGGAACAATTAGGAGCGTCATCTGAGGACACCACCTACTGATCTTGCCAAAATTGCTGTGAAATGATTTCTATTTGTAGATTCTCCAAATGTTGGATTAACAGGTCATCCAAGGCCATAGGACATTGTCCCCCTGTGTCACTATTCTTTAGCACTGGTTTACTCCAGAGAAGGAAGTCTGCTTGCATTACCCTTGAGTAACCCTGCCAAACAATGATTTGAAAATCCATATAGGTTCTGTTGTGCTGTTAGAAAAGGTGCTGCTCCCCAACAACAGCACCAATCAAAACCTTAAGACAAAACTAAGCAATAGGTTTTCTGAACTCTGCCTTGTGTCTCCTAAGAAAGAGACTATATTGCAGAGTCTAGAGGAAGTTGTGTAAGACCTGAATTGAATTAGCTCTACTCCTGTGCCAAATCACATCTGGTTTATATATATGCTAACTTGGAGCCCCTCTTTGCCATACTGTCGTCCTGTCCATCACTGGACTACTAAAACTGGATACCACTGAGATGCTACATCTGCTCAGATAGACTGCAAAAACAGCCTTGAGTCCTTACTGGTTTTGTTATAGAAGGTCTCCTACCAATTCCAGACTCTTCTGATGCACCTGTGGTTGGCCCATCCTCCTAAGAGTAATGTCTTGGATTTTACAGACTGGAGATGCATGGGATATCTTGAGCTTTCAGAGATGCTTCAAACTGCTTATAGTTTCACACAGGCATTGCTATGTAGGGTAGACTTAAAACCAGATTTTGAAACTTTTGTCAATGACCAAGAGCAATTAGTGTTACAACCCAGTTAGTTTTTGTGTGGATGGTCACCTTCTGCTGTGCTATTGGACCTAAGCCTTTGGAAGCTCACAGGCCTGTCTGCTTTAGAAACTCTCTACATCTCATCTTCAAGGGCTTCCCAGGATAGGGTCTTCTTGATATGTAGCCAGTGTGTCCATCGGTATCCTGCAATCCGATTGCCCTGCAATGTTTTCTGACTTCTTCAAGACCCTGTAGTATAGGCTCTTTCTTAGAAGATGTGCAGACAGAACTGTTCAGAAAATCTACTGCTTTTGTCTTCTCTTTTTTATTGGTGGCCCTTGCTGGAGAGAGACGTCACTCTAACAGCAGGTTCTGATACCTTCGTCTCTCCCTCTTTTACCCTTGGATTTTTCCTTGGATTTCTTTTTTGTTAGGTGGGTTTTTTTCCTTGCAGCTCTGTGTTCATTACAAAATAAATCTTCAGCAAATCAAAAACCTTTGCCTGTGTTCTGCCCTTCTTCAGCTCGGGCATGTGCAGTTCTTGACACCCACCTGGCAAGGCCATACGTGCCAGCCACGTCTTCAGCCTTGGACTGATTTCCTCTAGCAAACCAAGTGGTCCCCCACCCAAACAGCTTTACTCTTTGTACCCGGGTAGTAGATAACGGAGGAATGAAATAAGCGTACTTCTTTGTGAAGTTTTCAACAAATTCAGCTGTATCCAGCGTGGTTCATCGGTAGATAATGCTTAAAAGATGAAAGTTGCAATTCTAATGTTATCTCATGATTCAGAGTGTGTGATCTCAGCTATGGGCGAATAGTGTTTATGCTTTAATCTGCCTCTGGTGCACTTCTTCCTCTTAAAAGATGAGTCTATAGGATATTTTCTCCATTTGGTTAACAGACTGACTTAGGAGATTTACTAATGTTCTGTAAATTGCTGGGTTACCAGAAAAGTCTTTTAATCTTAGTATTGTATTCTTCCTCAACTTCCACTGAAACGGAAACAAAATCAGATGCTTAAACACCTGTGCTGTGAGGATCAGGGTTGAGGAGATAAGGAGAAACCTTTTGGAGGAGAATTAAAGAGCTGTTCTGGTGGAAGTGCTGAGGGGCTCCCGAAATGCTGGGAGGATGATGGAGCAGTCAGATGGGGGCTTTTGGAGCTGGGGGCTTTTGGAGCCGGGGGCTTCCTCTGCTCTCGA